CACGGCCTTGGGATTCTGTTTGATGCCATTGGCAGCAATGATCTTGGCGTTGTGGAGATTGTCCTTGTTCAGCCTGATCGCTTCCTCCCAAACGACTATCGATTTGGGACAAAGTTCGCACCCGCGAGCGATGACCTTTTTGGCTGTGTGAACTTTCCCGGCCACTTCTTCGAGTCGCGCCAACGCAACGTATCCCGGACCATTGTGTACGTTAGTCTTGACAGCCGATTCTAGCAGTACGCGCGCGCGGTTGATGTCCTCAACTGGAACTTCCTCGCCCATAGCTTCCTTTTTGTTGAGCGCCGTCATGTATCCCTTGGGGTCCACAGACGTCGAGGTTCCAGAGGTCGTTGTGGTTTGTGTGCCAGGGGCGCTTGCTGCTGTGTCGAGCCGTACAGTCAAGGCAGACAGTTGGGCAGCTCCGATACTTGCGAGATTCGTCGTCATGCCGTCAGCGTCAGACGATATCGTGGTATCAAGCTCTCCGCTCTTCGATGCCGCAGCAAGAACACTGTCCGGAACAGCGTACGACCTCGAATTCGCCAGTCGAGCTTCACGTGCACGCTTCGCTTTACCCGTCATATCTCCCACCTCAGGCAGCGCTGCCCATTCTTCTTCGGATACGCCGCCGAGGGCTCGTTTTAGATCGGCAAACTGGAGCTGGATCTTGGGGTTGTTTCGTTCGTATTCGTCTCGTTCTTGTTGCTCGCGAGCTTCCCTAGGGCGGACATCGGTATCTGTTCGTGGAAAAACACACGATGAATACTTCGATAATAACGATAGAGGGGAGGGGAAGGGGCATAGGGTAAATGAAAGTGGGGGTACTAACCTTCTAGCTCTGCGTCGCTTGTCCATCTTCTCGTCCACCTCCTGGTATATGCGGTCTGCCTCGTCATCGTCCTTGTCGTAGTTCATGCCGCTTGAGAAGAGACCGACTTCATTGTCGGGATCTTGAAATCGATCCTCCTCTTCATCCCTCTCTTCCTCCTTCTTTTCGGTGACACCATACGCCGAGGGAGCTGCCTGGCCTAGCGATGCTGCACGCTTTGCTAGCATCTCCTTCATCTGCTCCTCCGAGGGACCCTCCCGCGCGGGACCGAGATCGCTTCGCGTTGTGAAGCCAGTGGCTCCTCTTCCGAGACCAGCCACATAGTTCTCGGGCGCGGGCATCGACAGGAAGTCGCGTCGACTCATCTTGGCGGTGGTTTTGGGGGGTGTTGACCAGAAGCGGTGGTTGCAGGCTCTGGCTGGAGCGCGGCGCAAGTTGCGCAAGGTTTACGACGTGGGACGGAGCAGCGGTCGAACGGAAACTATGGCGGTGGTACAGGGGGAGACTCGGTGGTCGCGAGCGAGAAATTCCCTGGTAAAATCAGCAGTAAATTGTGTGGCAGTGGTGCCGAGGCGGCGTGTCTGAGTCGTTGGTCGCGACTTGGATAATAATTTGAGCTAGGCAATCGCATGTCACGTGCGCGGAAGCTCAGCCAACGCTAACCCAAAAGGTGAGTTTGCGACGGGCACACACAGTAAGAGACACGCACAATGGCTATGAGTAAGCCTTGCTACAGCTAGCTGCGTGCCCAGGCCGTCGGTTGGAGACAGAATAAAAGAACTATCTGTATTCTGACTACAAACTGCTGCGCGAAATAGTACCTAGGTATTCCAGCAACCACACGCGTATCTATTGGTTACCACGTGATACACCATGCTCATCAACTCGTCTATCATCAGCAATTACGATGCCGTCTTCTTCTGTGCGGGCGCCTTTCCGTTTGAAGCTTGAAGGGCATAGCGGGGTGACATTGGCGGTAATGGTGGAACCGGCTCCTCTGGTGTATCGCCTCTCAGGTTCCTTCCGCTACAACAGGTCAGCATACGTCTGCACCAATCTTGTTATGGCTCATCTTACCTCTTCGTTTTCCTCAACTTCCCTCCAAACCACTTCTTGAAACTCCGACTGGAAGAAGGGCGTTCTTGTTCCTTGTTGCGGGTTGAATCCGACTGTGCCATGCTGCTCCTGTGACTTGATACATGGCTGGCTTCTGGGGTTATGTCGTCGTCTTCTTCTTCCAGCGGCGGAGCCCATCTCTCGACATCGCCATTGACTACTACGAACCACCCCAATTTCTCTCCTGGCGCCACCTTGTCCCGGAGGTCTGCAATGGCCGCCCACTGGTCATCTCCCAGCCCCGCTCCCCTCATCTCCTCCACATCTGCTCCGAGTCTGATCTCATGCACAACATCGCACACATATGCGTATGGTTGATCCTTTACGGTAACATCATCGGGATCGTACTGTTCGATGAAGCGTAAGTCAGGTAGCGCAGCCATCTCTTGGGGCCATTGAGTCTTGAAGTTCTGCATCAAGCAAGCCGTGGTGGCAGGAGCCATCAGCCATTCTGGTGCAGCATCGTCGAGATTCTGCAGAATGACATGGATCCGAATTTGGGCGCGGGGCCACCGAAAGCCGTGAACGAGCCAGGTTGGCATGGTGAAGGTGAAGTGCTTTTCGTCTAAAGTCTCCGTTTCGGAAGAGGAGTGCCGTAGGATCAAGTCGAGCCAAAAAGCAACGATCAACGATTAGTTAGGATGTACCGAACGAGGATGCAAGCATTGGTGTGGATGACGGCGTCTTCAGCAAAGTTTTAGTTGCAAGTAGTACATGGTCTTACACGTCCTGTTATGTAGGCAGGGATCGCGTCTTGGGAGCTCATGCAGAGGTCTAGACGACGCGCCCAGAGAGGTTGGGAGAACCTTCCGCGAGTGGGCGCACGCTAGGAAGAAGCAACGACACAATTGCTGCAAGCGTTGGCTCAGGAGAACGAGACCAGATCGACACGGTGAACGCGATGAATCTGGAAAAAGCCCCAGTTACCTGTTTGGTCTATGCCAATAGCAGTGTGGGGGAGCTGGGATGAAGGCAGGCACCATGGTTTGCGCTTGCCCTCCCCGCTTGACGCTAATGCAAGGCAGCTCCCGTTCGCGTCGACGGGTACCGCGATGTTTCCGCGCCCGACCTCGCTGCCCACAGTTAAGAAGCCTGCGAGTCCGACCATGTGCGGCGCACTTCACTCTCTGATTTCGTATCCTTGAGATTCGTCGCCATGCCTCTGTAAATATCCCATCACCACGCTTTTTGCACCACAATCGCTTACAATCTCATAGGCATCTGCTAGGCAAGAAGTCATGGAACGTCTACAACTCGGACAACATCGCGCGGGTCAAGGCCGACGAAGCCGCTGCTGCCGCCCGCGAAGCCGCTGATGACCAGCGCAAGCAAGAGCTCGACGCTGAGCGACGTGCCGCCATCCTTCGAGGCCGGACGCCCCCACCACTGCCAACAGAAGAACCCAACAAGGCGCCAGCATCAAGGCGCTCAGGCAAGACAGATGAACGCGGCCATGACAGAAAGAGGAGGAGGCTTGCGGGTGAGGATCATACCGATGCAGATATACGCATGGCCAAGTCTATCACGGCTCGGCCTGAGGATGAGGCAAAAGACGCGAAAGTGCTGAAGCTACGGAGCACCGCATCCGATGCGCCGCTGGAGGACCATACCGGTCACATTGACTTGTTCCCGGTGGACATGAAGGAGGCTATCAAACGTGAGAAGTATGCGGACGCTGAGAAGGAGAAACGCAAGAAAGAAAAGGCCATCGAAGACCAATTCACAATGCGCTTCTCCAATGCCGCGGGAAGGGGTGGCATCGACCGACCCTGGTACGCTGCCGTACAAAAGCCTGCACCCGCCACTGGAGACAAACAGGACTTGGCACTCTATGAAGGTTTCGCCAATAAAGACGTCTGGGGTAACGAGGACCCGCGTCGCAAAGAACGGGAGCAGGCGCGCATATCCACGAACGACCCCTTCGCATTCATGCAGAAAGCACAGACACAGCTGAAGAAGTCGAAGCAGGATAGGAAGCAATGGGCTGCAGAACGCGACCGTGAGCTAATGGAGCTTCGGTCAGCCCAGGAGCGAGAGGAGAGGAGGAGTCGGCATCTTAAAAGGAAGAGGCGGGAAGTGGACGAAGACGAGCATCAGACGCCCAAGAAGGAGGCCTGCTCATCCTCGCGCCAGAAGCATCGCCATAGGAGCCCGAGTCGTAGCCGTGAAAGGCACGAGCATAGGTCTTCGCATCGCAGCGACAAGCGACGAGCTCATAGTAAGAGTAGGGAACGCGATGGAGACCGCCACAGACACCGTGATCGGCGGAACGAGGAGCTCCAGAAGGCTTTCATCTAGAAGCGAGTCACTGCACTACATACGAGTGCAGATCATTACGGGCAACTCGTTTGGTGTCCTATTACCATTCATTAGGCTCAACATACTACGATTATGAGAGTGTCGTCAGAAATGAGCTCGGCCTCTAAACAATCGAATTTCCATCCTAGTTGAGCATCTTGCACTTCATCGCTACCAAACTTGGACTTTCCATTATCCATTCCTAATTCGAACATTCGCTGACCAGTTCGAGAAGCAAGGCTGCGCGATTGTACCCCTGTCTCTACAGTCCCAAACGCGTTGTGCTGGATAGGAAGAGCAAGTGCGCAGTGTCGCTACATCATCTTGACTTCAGCCATCTTTGTACCGTTGTTAATCAACGCATAGCGGTGGTGTTAAGATCGCATGAGACAGGTTCTGAATCCTCATATAGACTGCTTGCTGATGACTGCAGGGACCTCAGGCTGGCCGACAATCTTGCGTTCGTGAGACTGGTCGCCACATCGTTCAGTGAGCTGAGTCGCACTGACTCTGTCAGGTGGCAGTTACAATCGGGTGCGGAATAAACCAATTGATAGCGTCTTACCGGTTAGCTTGCAAGACGTGCCTTCGGCCGCCGTTTGCCATACTAATTATCGTCTTCGACGAGGCTATGCGGCACAGCTCGCATGACTTCCTCGGATCACTGTGCCGTCACATCCGGAGTGGCGACCATCTATCTACCAGAATACACGACACGGCCACCACGCATCTACAACACATCTACACGCATTAGAAGATGGACGACACCTCAACAACAAACAGCGTAACGTTCCAAGTCCTCTATCGCATTCCCTTCCGCTACCTCTACATACCCGGCCTGTACATCCTGCTGCTCGGTTTCTTCACTTTCGGCCACGCATTGCACACGGTGTTCACGCACCAGGACCCAGGCGGATACTACAAGTTCTTGATCTGGCTCGTCCTCGTATTTGGGTTCTGGGTGTCTCAAGCCGGCGCCCATCTCTGTGTGATCTGGCTTACCTTCAGGGACCTGCAGTTCCCAGATGTGAGAGGGAAGCACATAGTCATGACCGATTCTGCAAAGCGCACAAACAAAGTCCTCCGAGGTATCGCTAAGCTCATTCCGTGGCGCTACGCGTATATACCTGGTCTGTTTCTCGTCGTTTTCGACATCTTCATTCTTACACATTCACTGCGCCTGCATTGGGCGCATTTTGGTCCTGCGGATTGGGATACGATGCTACACGTTCACTTTCGCACGGTGCAGGGAGTGTGTCTTGAATTGGCAGGTTTTATTGTTTGTATGGGGTCGTATGTCTTCAAGGGTGTGGAACTGGAGGATGCGGAAGAGATGGAACAGAAGGGCCAGGATATCAGTAATGGGGACGCTTTTGAACGGAAGGTGAGAGTTTCAAGCGAGCATGACGATGCTCGTTGAACGGTGGATGTACGGCATGGAGATAGGAGGGTTTCCTTGGATGGTATAGGAAAGAGCAGCTAGGAAGAAGTACAAGCAGGTAGCTTCAACTGCGCAGCATGGTTCACGTAGCTCAAATCTGGGTTGACCGCTTCGAAGCTATTGCTCGTACGTTGGAAGTCTACTTTGCTACACACTATAAATCAAGGATCGATTCCAGTGAACCGCAGCGGCAAATGGTCAGTCCAGCTGGTGAAGTGTTACACTGCGCTTGGTGCATATCAGGTGTACCAGAGATCGCCTGAGACTACTGTAGCCCTGAATGAGTATCTTGCGGCGAGAGTGCTCAGCAGGTCCTAAGTTCGGCTGCTCATGCGGTGATACCCAAGGTGTATGTAGATCGCAAGCGACCTATCGCAGTGTTGAGTCGTGCTAGCGGTGGCTTGCTGTTCGACGGCCTTGAACGCATCGTGTTCTTTTGTCGTCTTAGTGTCCTCCCATGTGCCACTCGGTATGAAAATCTCTCAAAAGACCTACACGGGCTCAACGGTAGGTCCAAGGTGTTTGTCAGGGAAGGACATCAGCCCGTCTCAGTGTCCAGTGACAGTTCGAGGGTCCAACTTTGGGAGGCAACCACACAGCATAGCCTAAGCAGAGTTGACGGCCCAAGGCCCCCCATACCAGCACCTCATTGCCTAATATCGTGATTGCGGGGGTTGCAAAGGGATATTATCATCCAGCATGTCGGCGACTAAAGAAAAGTATAGATCGGGGAAACCGCAAACTTGTATGCGACCTAATCGGAAAGAGCGCCGCGGGGATTGCGGGAGCGGGGGCGTTGCACCTAGCCACTAGGTAGCTGTTATGCGCGATAAGCATTCTGCGCGTTACCAGGTTTTCATACCGAAATCGCGCGCTTCTTGACTCGCAGACGGATGTTGCGAGTGGGTTGTAAGTTGCTAGGTTTGATCACCTGGGTAGGGAATGCGAGCAGTCGAATTCACCCAGGGGCCAATAACACCTAGGTTCCTATCGCAGTGCTCCATCACGGGCACGAACTTAGTAACCATGCGACTACGGAGAGCTCCTTCGCACGCGACAAACATGATGGACAGTCCCAAGAGCATGTCATACAGCTCGTTTGTGTGCTTCGACTTGTGGCGGCTTAGATGACCCGCATGTGTTTCAGGTGAGTTAGCGTCAGGTACCAGCCTAGACAGCGGGCTATTAAGGTGCACCGGACCGTGGAACGGAGATTTCACGCATATCCACACGCTCACGGGCCCGAGTCCGATTGGCGAGGCCGCAACTCGATGATATCTGTACAAGATGGCGCGAGAGATGAGGGCAACCGGCTGCAAGCATGCCTAGGGATATGCATATGTTTTGACTATACTGTTTTGTGATTGTCGATGAGACCTGTCACGTTATAGAGATTGGTGCGCTCTATTCTTCGTTGTTTGTACTGCTGCATACGTATGATATGACGACGACTCGACTCTCACAAATGAAAATGTATCGTGTATTGCCAGGTACATCCCCCCACAGACTAAATGCTCCGAACAGTTCTTGAAAAGGGGACACTAGTTGCAGTAGTTGCTGCAAGTGAATACACTACCCACAAGCCGATCGCTGACGCACTGATCTACTAATAACGTGGTTAGATGGCAATCATGCAAAAGCCCGTGAACTTGAAATCGGTGCAAAGAGGAGGCCTGATCGTCTATCACGGTAAACTGATTGGCGACTCGAAGGTTACTTTCGCGTACTGGGCACGATGGCGTGCACTAATGAAATGGCGTTCGTAGCACGCTGTCTAACGGCGGAGTCAGATCCGGTGTCAGTCACGACGTGTCGAGCAAGGTTGAGCCACACACCCGAACCCGCAAGCGTTCTGAAATCAAGGTCAGCCCTACCTTGCACCGGGATACTTAGTCTTCACTGTCTCTTCAGTCCGGGGGTTGTCTTGGAATCTCGACACTCCTGTGTACGTGCCGTGCGCGTGGCCTCTGACTTTGTGACACAAACCAAACATTCTGGCACTACAAGTCCAAACATACCCATATCACGAACCTTGATCCTGGCATAACCATGGCTTCTGGAACCGCGCTCACGCCAGCCATCATCGCAACATGGCCAATACCCAACTATGTTGACCCAGTCTCGCAAAGGGGCAGTGTCGAAGCTGCAATATACGCGACAACCATCCCAATGGTACTTTTTGTCGCTGGCAGAATCTACGTTCGAGCGAATCAGAAGTCAGGTGTAGGAGCCGATGACTGGATCATGGTTGGCGCGGCCGTACGTTTGCCCATCGCTCTCATGTTATGTATCTAACATGTATAGGTCTTCGCCTTAGCGATTTCTGTGTGCTTATTAGTTACAACCACCAACTCTCTTGGGCGTCATCTCTATGATGTGAACCCGATGACGTTTGTGAGCTCTGCAAAAGTAAGCAATTACCATTGGTTTCAATATTCATACTGATGGCTTCTAGTACAACGTTGCGAGTGTCACAATGTACAATGCTTCTATGACACTCACAAAGCTTTCCGTCTGTATGACGTACCTGAAGCTCTTCCCCTCGCGCACGAACAAATTGTTCTGTTGGACCATGATTGGGTACCAGCTTCTGTGGGGTGTCATTTCGTCGGCACTCTACATTCTGCAATGCGTGTAGGTCATAACCCCAGGGCTGATGTTTGATCTTGACTGACTTTCCTGTCCCAGTCCAATCCAGTCACTCTGGGATTTCACGATTATCGACAAAGTATGTTTGGACTCGCATCAATTGCTCACCGCGAGCGGCATCTGCAATGTAGTGTCGGACTTTGTGGTGTTCCTTTGGCCAGTCGCGCCACTGTGGCAGGTCAAGTTGCCGCTATCACAACGCGTGCATCTGGTCGCGGTTTTTTCTTTCGGCGTCCTGACATGCGTCGGCGGCATCTTGAAGGTCGTTTGGTCGCAGGATTACTTCAAGACATGGGATACGACATGTGAGCAGTACCGTTCCACAATAGAGTGTCATCGTGCTAACATAGCCTTCTCGCAGGGGTTGCGTCTCGCGTCACTATGGCATTGTGCATCGAGTTCAACGTTGGTATCATGAGCGGCTGTCTACCTTGTCTCCGTCCATTTCTAGCGATGATGGCTCCTGGAATCTTTGCTGGACCATCGGCGGCACACGGCGGCAACGCAGCGAATTCCGGCGGAGCATCCTGGCGCAAGTCTCCCTTTCAGTTTGGAGACTCCAAACTATTCAAGCTAGGCGCGGGTAAGCCGTCGGATCGTGGTGAAGATTACGAGTTCACGGATGCGGAACATGCGGGAGGTGCCCGCGCTTGGGCTGCAGGCGGAAAAGAGGTGCCACAAGCTAGCATCGGCACCGTGTCTGGGTCTGGTATCTCAGTGAACAGAGATGAGAAGCTGCGCGATGGTTATGATTCGCCGGGTGTTGTCACCAATGATGCGACTAGTGAGGAGTGGATCATGAAGGAGGATTCTTCTAGGTAGCTCAACAAGGCGTAGTATATATCAATCATTAAGTATGGTCTTGAGAGCCCATGCCGAAAGCCAACACGAGGGTATATGGCGACATATTCGATGACTGGGAAGGTCGGCGAAAAGTGAAGCAGAGTACTTTCGCTCAAAGTCCTAGAGCTGTCAATAGCCTTCGAAGTCATGACATGAGCAATGCTTCCGAGTGCCATTTCAGACAACGCATCGACGTCGAATGAGTCTCGAAACCTTGTACTTTCAGTCTCTGTGACAGAAGCGCAGTGCTCGTGTCGATTTATGCGTGCGGCCAGCCACCAGAACTATGTATATCCAGGGAACTCGCAACCTTGACATGACCGAGCTTCATGCCTACGATTGCGTACCGCTGCGATGAGCTGATGCCATAGGCGCTCGTGCATGTGCTGTATGCGCGCCTCGCCGCGACCAGCTTCGCTTCCAGCCTCATCCCAAGGCGCAGGGTACTGAGCGCACCTCAAAGCAAGTCGCGGTCTCGATTCGGCAGCGTCGCTCTCGCAGGGACCTACTCGGTGGACTTGATCATGTCGACCAAGTATCAATATAATGTGTCTCCGCCCCTAGTTGTGATCCAGGCAGTCCCATGGCGATAGACGGGATTGCGACGCGCGGTCGAGCGGTTCTCACGAGCTTGTCCGTAGATGCGCTGGGTGTGGAAATGTGCTGCGATACGATTGCAGAGATGCCTACACGGGTGCTCATGTGGACGTGACCGCTGAGGAAGTGTGAATGTCGACTGGTCGTGTAGCTCATTGGAAGCGGCTGTCGGGGGGTATTCCTATCGCATTGGTTCGGAGTGGACCACATAATTAGCGCAGTACGGTCAATCTGCTGATGTCAAAACATGGTACATAAGTTTGGAAGGACTTCGTGATTGATCCGGGCGGTAGTCGCTGCGGGAGCGGAAGCTCTGTCTTGGTTCAGAGGCCTTGGGCGACAAGCCGGACGTGCGCGCCGACCATGCTACTCCCGAATTGCCCGCCAGTGGCAGCCTGTCACCCATCATCTAGGCAACAACCCATATACAGCCTGCTTGGATCGTACATGATCACACAGAGCAGTTATCTAGACACAATTTGTGATGGAATTCAGAGGGCGTTGCAATCAAGAAGGTCCGGACGAAGGAGTCCAATTTCATTTGCGCTTGGCGCACGTAGCTCAACCAGCCGACATGTGACCTGTCCATGTGCACGCCAACACTACCTCGTATAACCCTCATCAGACTACGACCATCAGCTCTACCCAACCCGATCCCTCCATGCCCGTAACCCGTGGAGGCCGCAGAGTGGCTCGCCACCCACGCAGGATAACTCATGTTCTTCCTTTCAGGCACAACGCGCTCATGGTGTTCCAGGGCCTGGATTCGTGTCCTCTTCCACCGCTTTACAATTTCACCATATACTTCACCCATCCGGACGTCAACCCGGACAATGTTCAGCCATATGAGCTCTTCAAGGCGATCAGAGAAGGCTCCCTACTGGAGAACTTCTGTCACTTCCGCCTCGAGCTATTTTTCCTACATGTCCCAAATGCAGAGGATTCCGACGAGGCCTGCATCGCCCACTATCGTGAGGAAAAGCGCAGCCGGGGAGAATATACACGTCAGGTCGAAACACTAGGGTTGTCGTCCACTATGGACAGTGAGAACGGTGCCGGTAGTCTACCCGGCTTGGTACCAAGTTACATCGAAGACCCGGACACCGAGTATTACCATGGTCTTATCTACATCTACCGAGGACCTGATTGGACTATAGACAAACAGTTTGTACGTCGCATCTCCTTCGATCCTATTCCACAGAATGTGTATAGTTCGCTCGACCACGGGGCAGATGAACCTGACATTCTTCCGGCTATCGCCATCTTTCCACTAACAATACGCCATTTGGAAAATCACAATGTCAAGTCGATTGGCGAGGACATGTACTTCAAGTCCTTTCTCGCAACAAACAATGTCACGAATGAACCGTGGGAGGAGGCGATCAGGCTTGGATGGTCCACCTGGTGAAAGAAACCAGTCCTGGACACCAAGCGATGGATATGTGCTCGTGATGTTATGTTTTCGTGATCCAGATGTAGTAGTATAATAAACCTATCTCGACTATGGGGACCATAGAGTTGATAAAGTTGCAACCAATCACAAGGGCGAGAAGAAGCTAACGGGCAGATTCTGGGTTCACGACTGATGCTGCTTGCGTTCATTGCGAAGGCTGTGCTTCCAAGTCGATATATTGAGCCTGCGAAAACCAACCACAGCCTTGCTCTGAGGTTACCCAGCATTAATTACATTCTGATCGCGCGCTGCAGCGACCAATAGGGTATTTGCGAGCAAAGTCAGCCTTGCCCCCAGTCGCACACGTCTGACATTGTGAGGTCAGCTTACAACGGTGATAGTACATAAGGCATCTGTCTCACTCGTGTGTACATAGTCAGCATGGCTTCAACCTCTCAGTCAGTCGAGTTGGCCGAACTATCGGCACGGCCACTTCTCGAGTCCAAAGTCAGCGAAAAAATCGACAAGCCCAGTTTCACCGTTCAGAATGGTTCAGGGAGTGCTAGCAATGCGCCACCAAATACAGCGCCGAAGCTTCAAAAGGCTGGGAGTCAGAAGAATAGGCATGTCGCCGCGCAGGCGAAGAACATGTTCCGAACAGCGCTAGGTCGCGTGTGCCTCGCATGGAAGCGTTGTGTCGAGGCCGTGAGCCGTGCTTGGAGCAAGAGCTGGACGTTAGAGACATCGAGTCTTATCGCCTCCATCCTTACTCTTGCCGGACTTGTTTCGACACTCTTGGTCCATGAGAATAAACCGCTTCCCCAATGGCCTCAGCTGGTCACGATAAACTCTATCATATCGCTATTTTCCCTGCTCATGAGGGCATGCGTGGGCGTTATATTGACAGAAGGTAACTTAAGATCTAAACGTCAAAGAGCATACAAGCTGACTTGAGCGACAGGCATCAGCCAGTGCAAGTGGAACTGGTATCGAAAAGCCAGGAAATTGGATCACATTGAACGACTTGATTCAGCGAGCCGTGGTTCTTGGGGCTCCATCAATCTGCTGTACCATTTGAGACCATCGCAAATATAGTACCCGCCCTGCGATCCGCCCTGCCTTAGACAAGACTAACTTCATGCAGTTATCTTGCTGTACTGGGCGCCGCTATTACGATAATGTCGTCTTTGCTCGGCTTCTTTTCGCAACAGCTCGTGCAATTTCAGGATTGCCTCCAGCAAGACACAGCCGCTTCGGTCACCATATCGAGAACCAACTCCTACAACCGTATTGGAGGTACAATGCAGTCCAACGTACCCGCGGAGTATGCCCCAATGGCAGCAGCGATCAGCGTCGGCGTACTTCAACCCGTCGGAGATTTGACCAATACACTCTCTTCCGGCTGTAGTAGCGGCAACTGCACTTTCTCAGCTGAGGGCAGTGCATCATTTTCGACCCTGTCTTTCGGTCACTTCTGTACCAACGTCACCTCAAACATTCGCAAAGTGAATGAAACCTATTCGATGAGAGACAACTTGACTAGGGCATACTTGGCACTGGATTATGAAGACGGCCATACCTTGGAGTTCTCACGAGAGAATGGTGGAGAACCTGTCGTTCGCTCCTGGACCTCGTTCACTCCATCGGGCCTGACCACCATATACTTTCTTTTCAGGTCTTCCAATTTTAAGCAAGATTGGAGAGCTGTCAATTGTTCAATGTTCCCAACCATCAACACGTATAAAGCTAGAATCACCGACGCGATTCTAGAAGAGCAATTGGTTGACATTACGTATCTTGAAAGCATATCAGCCCAGTTCAATAAGCCGCCTGTAAGAGATGTTGACTTCTCAAACACGGTGTTCACATGGACCCATGCGATAACAACCAAGTACACTATACGGAACGGCATAAGAGAGTCATGCGAGGGCTCCGACCGCCCCAGTACTAGGCTGTTCGGGTTCATAAAACATAGCGACGAGTCCACTTACATCAACGGCAGCGGTCATACGAATCCAAGCGCGGGGTAGAAGTGGTCGTACTTTCCACCGAATTGCGTGTAGCTTCTCAACAAATTTTCGGAGACCACGATAAGCGAAAGCCTCACAGCTACGTTTGACCAGAAATACCTCTTAATAGGCTTTCACAAGGGAACA